AGAGGAGTGTAGCTTTGACAGCTTGTAAGATTGAGAATGCCTCTCTTGCTGCTTTTCTTGACGAGCACATTCCTGACACTGCCTATTGTAGCTAAGAAACAGCCTATCTGTTACACATCCCAGCGCAACCTTAACTAGGCTATATTCCCAACGTTGGAAAGTTGTCAGGGCATAGTCTGTCTCGCTGTCCTTCATGAATTCACGTCGCCAACGCACAATTCTCTGCATAAGGCTCACCTGACCTGCGAGAACTTCAGGATAGGAAAGTTCAATGCAATGTGCACCGGGGATATCCCGCCGGAGAGCGGGTCTTCCCCCCATGATTTCCTTCACACTCAGCTGTCCGTCCATACCCTTGAACCATGCACTGTTGATTACATGCTCAGAGTAGTCAGGCTCATCCCCAACGTAAGGGACACCAAACCCTTTCACGGCAGGGTTCAATGGCACGGCATCAGACGACATCTCGCCGGTGAGCGAATCCTCGTCACTAACTGACTGTAAATGCTTGAGTGACAGACAGTGGCTGCGGAGACGCAGGCACAAATTTACAAAAGAGACTGAAAATTCTCCACAAGAAGGAAAGCTACCTACACGGAGGTGTAGCCTGCTAACTACTCACAGACTTCCTAACATGAGGCATATTTCCTTACATATTTCTGGAAGAAGATTCAGCTCCTTAGTCAACCAAGCAAGTGCGAATGCCTTGTGTTCCATCAAGGACCGAAAAGCAGGATGAGAATCAATCTCCTTGATATCACCACTCATTACAGAATCTATCAAGTTCCTACAGGACAACGCTCTGTGCGAACGTGAGATAGATCTGCAATAGCACCTGAGCAAGCCTCCTTCCTAAGCATTTGAATCATGTGAATTGTTTCTTGCTGCTCTGGAACATGAGTAGTAGAAGCCGTAGTAACAAGAGTATTGGCATCTGCGCGCATGTGCATCAGCACCAGAAATATCCTTCCACAACCCCCTCAACACTTGACACGTACCAAAACACTTCATCAAAGCATATAACTCAGCAACAGTGGTACTCAAGGTAGTCCGCTTGATTTTGGTTGATTCGAAAAAAACAAGCGAGCCCCGAGTATCACGATTGTTCTTTTGACGCTGTTCCACGAGGAAAACAGTCATTCCACGTTGCGAGGACTTGTCAGAATTGTTTCGGAACGCGGCATCTGGAATTCCGAGGATTCGTGGAGCGGTTTTCAACGGCCAAAAACGGAGCTCGGAAGGTTCATTCTTAATCTGACGACACAGCTTATTTAGTGCCCGGCAGTCTCCTATTGTGGGTGAAGCGGAAGCTGAATCACAACGGGAGAATTGATAACAGGCCTGGAACTGAGTTCTAGACTGTAACCAATTGATACTGCCTAACAGGGATCTAAAAGCTGCGTGCATCTCCTTACTACACCCTTCCGAGTCGGAGGACCCGCGTGGGATAGAGATCTCTTCTAACTCTTCAACATTTAACTTTTGGGTGACACCTATATACTTCTTCTTCTTGGTCTTGTCATCAAACACCCAAGCAACTCTCTGTCCTCTCTGTCCTGTGAACATGATGTCATTGACATCCTCATGACCGATAGAGAAATGCTTGCGCGCACTGCTTTAACAAACCAATCTACGAAACTCTTGTCACCAGTAATCATGAGATCATCAACATGTAAGGACAAAACACCAATAGGCTTCCTACCTCTACTGGGACTGCCATGAACTGGGTCAACGAAGTGTTCCAACAATTCATCAACCACTTCAGGAGTAAGTTGGGGCTTGTCCAAAGTAGCTTGATAGGAGGACTTCTCAGGCAAATAAAGGGAAACAAGAATCTCAACTTCTTCTTCTTCAAAATCTTGCTTACCTCCATTTCTGAGATCAGTGCTCTGTTCTATAACCCACCAGGTACCTTGTCGGAAGACGCAGGAAACTCTAAAGGGGTAGTCCTTAGTCTTATAGGTCGGTTCAGGGGTCCTAAGAGCCTTGGCCCTATGAGTAACCTGAGCCTGCCCATTAAGAGAAGGAAACCATCCCTTCTTATGAACTGCGGTAGAATTGAGGAACTTTAGGAGGGCCTCGTCTACAACAGGTCTCCACGCATACTCTGTGACCTTACGAGTAGTAAGCGCATGTGCAATATCGGGATAATCTTCAACGGACCTTTCCTCCGTATGGCTGGAGGTAACTGACGGATCCTTCACTACGCAGGACTTAAGGAAGTGACAAAAGTCGGCTTCCTCTTCGGCGGAAGAGCCTGCCGCAATTTCAGCCGTCTTGTCGGCCGAGTTGGGCTGGGCTTCGACCTTAGGTTCTCGCCAGGCTCCTTCATAGCAGACGTAGGTACACCTATCTGCCCTAGTAGGGACCAAACCACAGGCTCTAATGAATTTATCAAGGCGGTTCCACCACCTTCTTGGAGCATCATTAAGGCCATAGACAGGTCTCATACAATATCCTACTAGGTTAGAAGGCAAACCTAAGTCACTAGGAAGTTGAATAATGACAGCCCGGCGCGATAAATTGTAGTGTTCCCCCTGAAGGAACGCAGCTTTAAGGTCCAAATGCAACAAATCCCACAAAGAACTGGCAGCCTGCTGACAGACGAGACGGAAGCCATACCGCGTAGCAGTGGGAGAGTCAGTTTGCTGCTCCCATCCATGCTTATCCTGAAAACCCCTACAGACCCATCTAGCCTTAAATTTGGAGAAATTACCGTCCTTGTCAACTTTAACGGTAAGAACCCAACGGCCCGTAAGGTAATTCGTACCCCCAGGTCCAAACTTGAGAGTACGCTTATCCAGGAAGCGGATGGCACCATTGTCCAAATAACTTGTAAATTCTTCCAGCTTAGCACGACGAATTTGTTTAGCATACTTACGCTGCATTTCCTGGGTAATAACCCCGGCCTTAACTTTCCCTGCCAACAATGTCATCAAATCCTCAAAAAGATTCGTCACCCAGAAGAGGGATATCGAGAAAGGATTGGCCCTTAGGAACAGCGAAAAACACGTCTTCAGATGACAAACCTTGGCCTTCATAGTCAATGGTGGCATCAGAATCAGAGTCTGAATCCGGCGCAGCCTGTTCCCCCGGAGTATCTGGCTCAGGAGACTGAGCAATGGGAAATTCTCCTTCCGTAACTGGAAGGCCTGGCCGGCTATGAGACGAAGCCGCGTCAGGATGAGGTGCTTCATCATCACCATCTTCTGGAAGTGAAGGCATCTTGTCCACTTTGGCCGGCTGCCGCTGACCCGGCAAATTGATTACTGGTTCGCGCGCCTTGGCCTTGGCCGCCCGTGACTTTTCACCGGCACACGTGGCATAGATGCTGGACGTTGTTCATCCGGATCTAAAGGTATGACCTTTTTCGGAGGTGACTGTGTACGTGGAGAATCAGCCGGCGGCGGAAGTGGCGGATCATCTGGCGGATATGAAGGTGGCGGAGCGTTCGTGCCCGGGTGTGACAACGGAACTTCCGGATCGGAAAATTGCGGCACGGCGCCAGCGAAAGGCCCTGATGGCCCATCAGGCGGAGGACCAGGCGGAGGAATTTCCGCTTCGTACTCCATCGGAAATGGGTGTATCATCAGGATCTACCGGAGGCTGCGATGGTACCGGTCCGTAGGGACCGGTTTCGTGTGGCCCAGAGCCAGGTGGCAGGTCCAGGAGGGTCATTAGAATGCCCTGGAGGCATATCTTCGTCATCTACATCAAACGGAGCAGGACCCCCAGGCATTAAGATCCGAACACTGAGATCTCCTCCTGGAACAGGAGGATACTGAAACGACGGATCATCAGAACCCGTGGATCCCGGATCATCAGTTAAGCGCCTTAGAAGCTTACCCATGGTTTCTCCTGAAAAAGACCACTTGGTGAGATCTAACTTCTCATAGAAGGCCCTAAGCTGGTTCACCAGGACAAAGAAGACCTTTTCAAAATCACCAGGTTCCCATAAGAACAACAGAAGCAGGATCTTTCTGCAAAACAGGACTAACCTTTCCTAAAGTGCCCCTGTATACACTACAGTGCTCAAAGGACAGATGAGGAAGGGTCATAACCCTGACATTCTGCATTAAGGGACGTAGTTCCCTGGCAATTTCATCTGTGGAGGAGTTAATCTCAACTTCTACACCAAGACGCATAGAATCAACTTTCTTCAAGGATTGAATCAAAGAACTAGTAACAAAACGCTGTGGCAACACATATTGATGACCAACAGGAAGTTTATCAGAAAAGTGCTTCATCTTGTTGATAAGAGAGTCATGTGGGAAGATCGTATCACCCAAGCTGCTTCTATCATGACGTAGGCTCAATGAACACAGAAGACCATCATCTACATCTTCGAACAAATCTTCAAACAAAAAGACTTGCCTAGAGTCACAGGATGGTTCCCCCTGCATACATTAAGCCAACAAAGTAACGAACTTGGAATCATACGATTCTCCCTCAGGAAGAACTGGCAGATTATCAACAAGACGCTTCATCCAACCTGAAGGTAAATTTGTGGCCAAGTAGGCAGAGCCATCAGTAGATTGGCGACTTACACAATACATATTGCTCATCCAACGGAGTGTCCTAGAAGAACGTGATGACCAAAACTGAGAAGCGTTAGGAGCAATCACCAAGCAACGCTTCCCCCTTTGGGTTTGCCATCTAGCAACATCAGTACAAAACTCCAAAGTTCCTTACACATGGAGACATCCTTAGGAGTGATGGCACGCAAGACAATATTTGACAAGGTCCTTCCAGGCTAGAGCTATAGAGTGCTGAAGACACTTCTTGGAAGTAAACTGCAAGTCCACTGCAGGAGCTACTGTTTTACCCTGATGTGACTCAAGTAGGCTCCTATGCCACTGCATGTATGTAGGACTTCTATACAGTCTACAGGATCACTATCACTACACAAGCGATAACACACTTCATGTTCTGACACAAAAGATGCACTGGCATTGCCTAGCTCATCGGTGGATGAGCCTGACTTATTGTCTGAAGAAGGCCCTTCCAAATGAGGAATCTGAACATCATGCCATTCATCGTGATCCCTTCTGACCTTGGATTGATTCACCCTTAGAAGCACAGTAGGCAACTGAACCAAAACCATAGCACCTTCTTGGGAAACTACAGTACCTCTCATCCATACACCTTCACTCTTCTTCTTATTATCGTCTTTACGCCAAACAAAAACCTTCTCCCCCTTAGTGTAAGGGCCATCTGAAGGCATAACTCGCTTAGCCAGGTCCTTCTTGAGGTCTGTGGACTGGCGCGCTTCCAGATGAGCCTTCATGGCTATGGTCCTCAGCTGCGTCGCTGTCCTGTCCTCAGGAAGTCCTTCTAAGGAGAGTTGCTCAGGATTAGAGGTCTCCATATCTAAGAGGTCTGGAGGTCTTCTACCTGTAGCTACTTCTAAAGGAGAGTAGCCGGACACTGTAAGCTGGCAATTACGGACGAAAACGATTCGTTTCACGGCTTGACTAAGCGTGATCTTTTCAAACATACCTTCTTCACCAAGAGACTTAACAAACAACGCCCACGTCTTCTTGAACAAACGAACAGCGGTTTCCGCACGGTTAGGCCAAGGCGTCCTTGGACCGCACGGATACTGAGCAATGTTATGGTATTTGTAGAACTTTTCAAAGTCAGGCGTGAAAAACGCAGTATCGCCAACAACTCTTTTCGGAACACGGTTGTTCTCCTCGATCCACAGTCGGAGAGCGGAAATCGTTTCCTCCGGTAACAAGGTTTTCTGAGCCGTAGCCCACAGGAGATTTGTAGCGCCATCAAGAACCAAAAGAACAACGTATTTCGCGGTACGAAACTGAATTTCTTGGTGGTCCACGAAAATAACGTCACCAAATTCCGACGCACGCATTCCTGAGATTCTGGCCCGCGGCGGACTTGAAACCGAAGTACCACACACCTTGCAGCCCTTGACTATCTTGTCATACTTTTCGTAAATAGACTTCGGCAAACCTAACATGTTAGTCCTTCTACGAAACTGCGCAGGTGACATGTGGTAATGCTTCACGTGTAGCTTACACAACTCTACTTCATTTTCGAGTCTCTTAAGCATACGCTGGAAACTAGGTGAAGCAGCACTAAGCTCTTGACCAGGCAAAGGAAGCTCTACCCACCTAGGTTCTAGGGACGTGTCTTCCTTAGCTACTGGATTGTCCTCACGCTTCTTTTTTTGCTCTTGACGCTGTGAAGGTCCAGGTTCCTCGTCGTTGAACGACCCGCCAGGCAACGGATTTTTGCCAGGTACCTCATCGTTGGGTGAGCCTCCTGAAGGCGGCTTGCGACTGGAGGACGAGGGCTCACGGACAGAGTCTGGAACGTCACCGCGGCGATTGCCTACTGAGATCGATACCCGGACGTTGGTCCGGCGTTCGAAACCTCCAGGCTTGACCTTGAAAATGGTTGTGACCTTCCAGGGTTTCTCTTGCCTTACTACCAGTTGTCCACCTTCTGTTGGGAAGTGCCATCTTCATATTCGAATTTTGTTGCACGAGTATCCTCGAGATACTCCAGAGGAATGGGTGTATTATTCTTCTCCGGCTTATATGATTGGGACCTAAGCTTCCTATGGACCCTAATCATTTCTCTATTGGGCTCATTGAGTACCCATTTATCCTCTGTAACAAGTGCTTCTTCAGAAGGCTGAGGATTGGCAGAAATCTCATCTTGCTGGTGAGCAAGTCCAGACTCTTGCGCAGGTTCTTCTTGCGCATGATCGCTGTAATCATAGTGAACATGCTGAGTGAAGAAGCTGACACGCTGAACTTGGAACTCAACATTGTACATGTGCTCTGCCATGACCTCAAGATCCAACACAAGGCGCGAGCTTCTGGAAGTATCCAGTGGCAAGTGGTAGATGCCCAACGGATCACAGGCGAGAGAGGCATTACCTGGTGTGAGATTTAGAGAAAACCTCAAGTTGCGCATCTGCGGAAGCGACATAAGGAATGGCACCTGACCTTCTTCTACAATGTCAAACTCAGTACAGTGAGTTGAACCATAATAGTCACTCATGTAAACCACTAACTTCTCTGTGCATTTAGAGGTCTGGCTATTGGCAAAAGAGAACTGAGAGGTGGTAGGCTTGATTTCATACGACAAGTAGGTGTTGTGGCCTTGCCTGTCGATGCGCTGGCAAAAATGGTTCACTGCTGTCCTAGAACCCATAGCCTTAGTACACCCTAAATCTAAGATAACCTTAGTAGGGGACATGTCGACTACTTGCAAGGCTGCAGGAGAAGCCATCATGGCTTCACCAGGCTCTTCAGGCTCATCTTCATCATCACGGTCATCACCATCACCATCTGAAAAGGAGTCAGGTGAATGAGGCTCAAAGTCCTCTAGACCTGAAGGCGGTGTATCACCTGGAACACGAGATCGTGGCAAGAACATCTCGTCTGGATCAGGTACTCTCCAATGCCTCACCTCGTCATCATCAAAGTCGCCTACACCTGCTCCATCATCTTCGCCTGCAGGGTAACCTAATGCTGCATGTATGGCTTCTTGCTGTCTACGCCATTCATGCCATCCATCAGGAGCATCATCATCATCAGAAAGGGTACCAGGCGGTTGCACCTGCCTCCCTCTTCCCTTGTCATTCCTGAACTCAAGAGTGTAGGCAGGCTTTCCTTTGACGATGGGACCTCCTTAACGATTGCTGTGGAAGAGTCAGCACATTATCATCTGGTGCAAGTTCTTCCTCTGCTGGCTGATCCGACTGACCAAAGTGATGCGCATACCAAGGGGGAGTTAGATAGGTCGCACCCTTGCCCTTACCTTTGGACATGGAAAAGGGCAAAACAGATGCCACAGGATTAACGTTGCCGGAGCTGGAACTGGCTGGTTCCCCACTGTTGAGTGGGCCTCCAAGCAACGCAAAAGGTTCCTGGGAACTTGTTGGAGAGACAACCATAAGGAACCCATGACCATGAAGAGACCTATGTTGATGCCTAGACATCCTCTGGTAAAGCTCCCCTGAGGTATGAGAACAGTATGCATCACAGTCATATCGGAGCGCTGATGGTGAAATTCTCATGTTGGGACACATGGCGTCTGAGGTCAGAGTATTATCTGTACTTGTCCATCATCAGCGGCATTTGAACCAGAATCCGAAGTGTCCGGCGATGGCGGTCCTACCGTTCGGCGAAGTTCCTCCATCAGAGCGTAGTAAAGCCAAATCGGTATGAGCCAATCGTCGAGCAGAACATTATAATCCTCCTCGTTGAGTGAATACGCGAGAGTGGCTTCCTGAACGACTTG